AAGTCTCACCACCCTTAATTTTGAGGGGGAGGAATTAAAAATAACAGGGCAGCGAATAACAGCTGTATTACTGTAGGATAAAATTATGGTAAATGAATATTCCTATTTTGTTGAAAATGCTAAGGGTTAAAAGTGCTAAGGGTTAAAAGGGTTAAGGTATCGTGCGCTGAAGCAGCGTATTAGCTTGATCGGAAAACCATCGCATGAAATATGGATCTCGAAGTATTGAACGTGCCGACCACGTGCACGCAAAATTATGGTACTTCAGGGAAATAAGGGATTCTTGAGGCCATTCGAAGCAACTTTTTCCTTTACAAAAATGTTCTCCGAGGCTTCGTTTACGAGTTATTAACGAAGAAACAGTGACCAATGAGAGGCGGCTCGCGCCAGCTGTGCCAATCAACGGAACTCTCGCTCCGCCCTCTCGCCTCGCGCCAGCTAATCTCGCCTCTCATTGGTCACTGTTTTTCGTCAATAACTCGTAAACGAAGCCTCGCAGACAATTTTCGTAAAGGAAAAAGTTACTCGAAATCACCTCGGGAACCCCTCGTTTCACGGCCATAATTATTGGACACCCTGTACGTCCGTCGACGAAGTCTCTGTTCCTCGAAACAGTCCACGAAGACGAGAGTTTGCATAGAGATTCTGTCCGGTGATCACAAAGGGATCGAGCAGATTGCTCGATAAATATTTAACGTCGGCTGGGACCTGCTCAACCGGCGTTGCAACTTTAATGGACGCCGCGTTTATCACCGATGAATCTATGCCCGATGAGAAACGAGGATATCGTCGGCGGGGTGCGACGGAATCTTCGATTTATTTCGGCCGGCGTTCGGTTGTTATTATCATGCTAAGTTGCCGACAAAGGGAACGATTTCGACAACGTTTCGTCCGACGATCATCTGCCCTTCGGGTACACAAAGAGAGAGAGAGAGAGTGAGAGAGAGCTGGAAGAGCAGAGATAAAGAGAGAAGCAGGAGGGATGGGGCCGGGGGCGGCTGTAATCGGTGGTTTCTTTCTGTCTTGACGCGAGTCCTGGACCTGTGCCAGGTTCACAGGTCGCCGCGTTTGCAAACTCTTGGTACACGGCCGGCTGACGACGCGTTATCTATGCATTTCCGATACGGGACCGCGCACCGCCGCCACCCTCTCGCCCCGCGCTCGGTTTACCTTCAATTTAAGGGGGGCCCGCGGACGCAGAATTTACAGCGGGACGAGTTGTTGCCGCGCGCAATTATCCGCGTTCGCCGCTCTCCATTTCTACCCTCCGCTCGAATTCCTTTCGCGGGTGCATCGTCGAGGAGGATCATCGACTTCGTCCGCGATCGACTCGATGCTCTTTCGCTCTGCCGCGAAACGATTTTTGCGAAATTTATCGAATCGCCGTCGAAGCTGTTCTTGAGAATTTGGCTCGAAAACGCGCTTGTTCGCGTTAAAATGTTAACAAAGGAACGCGGGCTTGTTTATTTATAAATGCATAACGCGATTGACATTGTGATTTCGCGAACAGAATGACAATTTTTCAGGCGTTTCTGCTGACTAAAAAATAAAGTAAAATAATCTAATATAAAGAATAAAGAATTGAAAAATAATAATAAATAAGAATTGAACAATGTGATAAAATAATAAATAATTGAACAGTGTTCAGTCTGCAAGAAATTACAGTAGCCAGCACGGCCAACGGAATTGTTACTTTACGAACGATTAAATGATCATTTAACTTCTTTAAACAAACCTATGTACAATAATATCTCCCTAACTGACGCTCAGATTGTCATTATTTGAGCCTTGCAGCCCGTTTTATATAATTGTTGACAATCCATAGCTATAAAAGCAAACAGCAAGGCTCGAATAATCGTATCACTTCTCCTTAAATTGTCCATTTCCGTGGACAATCTGGTCGTCAATTGGAGAGACATTTCTGTATTCGCGCATGATCGCGCCGATCGACTCAACCTTGTATTCTCTTTAAACAAGCATTAACGTACTCGGATCGAAAATCAATCGGTCCGGAAATTTACGAATTTTGCCCCGAACGCTCGTGCACGGGACACGTTGAAAAATAAAGGATTTTTATCGGGCGATCGTAGCAGCAGCAGCAGCAAGTCGAACAGAGCAGAGCAGGTGCCGACAAGGGTGGGACGCGTTGGAATAACAAAACGGCAGAGCGGGAGCACGGAGCACAAATTCCGGATGCCGGTGGCGAACTTGTGGAGTGTGTATCTCGTCGCGCGGATTAGAAGGCAGAGAAAATATCGTCGGGAACAACACGACTGGCCCGCGATGGAAGAGTTTGGGGAACGCTGACGCAACTGTTTTCACGCGACTCGTTAAGCGTGTCGACCTCGATCCGATCGCGTAAGCCTTTCGCGATTATCTTAACCGGGAAGCCCTAATAAATCCAACCCCCTCGCCCCCGTCACGGCCGTTCTCTCTGCTCGGAGAAAGGCTCGTGATTCACGCCCCTGAACGACACACGCCACCGGATCGAGGGGGGGGGGGGATCAAGTTCAATACGTGTATACGAAAGCGAGGTTGCAGAAATATAATAATACGCCTCAGAAATATAATAATATTTACGCGATAATGGTTTCCGTCCCGATTATCCGACCACGTCTCTCAGACGTGGTCGCAGGACGAAGGGTCAACCGGATCGCAGCGAATTCTACGGGAATTCTACGCGCCGCGTGGTTCGACGACAGCGGGAATTCTACGGCAGCAACGCGAATTCTCGCGAACGTCCGCGGTCTGCGGCGCGAAGCATCCCCTTGGAAGCGCGAACGCGAAGCCTACAGTAATGTCTCTCTAATTGACGCTCAGATTGTCCACGAAAATGGACAATTTTGAAGGAGGAGACACGATTGTTCGAGCCTTGCGGCTCGTTTTTCTACGGTTATCGATCGTCGAAAACTGTAAAAACGAGCCGCGAGGCTCAACAATCGTGTCTCCTCTTCCCGAATTGTCTATTCTTCTGCACAATCTGAGCGTCAATTACTGTAGACATTACTGTGACAATTACTGGAGACATTACTGTATTTACATTCCGCAAGAAGTTCGCGATCGGCGCGACTCCGAAGGTTCGCGCAACCGGGGAAGGGCTCGTCGCGTGGGCACAGATCTTGTTGTCGTCCGTGGCACGCGTCCTCGAACCTTAACTCGCAGGTCAAAGGGTTAACAAAGCCGAGATCGAACAGCAGAGCTGCCGATCGAATCGGCTCCGCTCGAATCTAAAGTACGATCAACGCTGCCCTCGTCGACGCGGCGTTTCCAGTTCGGTCGAAAGCGCTTAAACGGATTCAACGGATCTCCGGCGAAGCGGATAGCATCGCAACGCCGCCGATCTACGATCGTTAACGAGAAGAAGAAAAAGAAAGAAGAAACAATCGTCTCGAGAGTTACGTAAATCGTGCAACAAACGTTCCCAGACGGTCATTGTGAAAGTGACCCAGATTCGCGCGGAGACATCATCGCGCCGGAACGGATCTCTCCGTTGAACGCTGCCGAACCGTACGCGAGCTCGTCGAACAGAATGGGGAACGTGGGTCCGGAACACGACGGGCAAAACGAGCGTTTTACAAAGCGGTCGCAGGTGGCTCGTGGTATTTCCTGAATGGAGGAACAAGTCCGTCGCGGTTCTTCGTCTCGCGTCGGTGTTATTTTTACCTGGCGCGGCCGAGCTTCTCACGACCACACTGCGGATGTTTATGCAAACTGCGATCTCTCCGGACGATGCGAGGACCTTTGTTTAACCCGAGTGCAGCGTCGTCGACGACGGCGAAACGGAATGGACGGTACACGTCGAACGTAAACGTCACCGGAGAAGAATCTTCCGCAGTTGGAGCGGCGGAGATTCGTTCCTCGAAGCACTGGCGAACGCGGTCCGAAACCTCGCCGACGGATTCGCAGCGGCATAGGGCAGCGTTCTAACTGGCGTTTCCCTAACTTTCGGAGTACCTTCGGCCCGGTATCTCCGGGATCGAAAGCCCCGACGACGTCGAGGGGTGCGTGTTCGTCGACAGGGAAACGCGAGGAAACGCGAGTAAACGCGAGTCGTCGACTCCCGTGTCGCGGCTCTCGGCGGCTCCGATACGCCTCCTTGACCCTCTCTGACCCAAATATTTGCCGTTTGCTATGGCCACGGTATTCGCAGGATCGTCGCGAACTCGTATAAACGCCTCTGGCTCGGTTTTCCGGGCGTACGCGGCCTCCTCGAAGGGATTCACCTGTTCTCGGCGAAGCGTCCGCTGAAACCGAGCCCCTCCACCCCTTCCCCCACCCCTTTCGTTCTATCTCGCTCCGTCTCCCCCTCTCTCTCTCTCTCTCTCTCGCTCTCCTTCTCCCTCTCGTCAACCCTCTGCCCTCTGTCGCGCCCCCACCCCACGCCGACCGCGGAGGACACGCGTGGAACTCTCGCTGAGTACAGCAGCACTCACCACCAATGGCGTAGAACACTCGGAGGACCGAGTTTCCCGAGTTTCCCCGAGTCGCCGGGTGTGCTCCCGCGGATCGCTCGATCTCTCGCGATCGACGAACTTGCGCCAGAGCGGGGCCGCCTACCCGCCGATTGATCCACGAGCGTTCCACTTTCTTTTTCCAGCGAGAGAACATCCCCTAAACGGAGCGACGGCTCCGGTCTAGCCAGCGGAGCCACTCCGTCGTCTCGGTGGAGGAGCCCGAGAAGCCGGGCTTTCCTCGAGGAATCGGCCCGACGAAGTCGATTAATCGATCAGCTTCGCCCTGATTACGGGAGATCGCGATCTCGAGGCGTCCGACTGTCGATCGCGCACGGGTCCAACAGACGGTCGTCGCGGAGGGAGAGCGAGAAAGCGAGGAAGAGAGACAGAGATACGAGAGATAGAGGGGAAAAGACAGAGAGAAAGAGAGAGAGAGAGAGAGAGTCCGGTGGCGCACCACGCGACCGCAACGATCATCCAGAGGCCGCGCGGATGAATCCTCGGACCGCCACGTAAAAATGGGACGAGCCCGCCTTAGGATCGTACCGATTAGCAGTCCCGTGCGGTGTTGGGCCCGGCTTTCGGTCCCGCGCTGGGTCCGGTCTCGGCTATCTCGCTGGTCGCAGCAGGATGGCGGTTCTGTCCATCGCGTTTCTGGATCGTATCGCCGCGAGGATCGATCGTGGTCGGGTGCACACGCGCTGACCGGTTGCGGGTACGCGTCCGCGTCCGGGATACGTTGTCGCGGCTGCCACGGCGATCACCGATTACCGAGAAGCGATCGTTTAGGTGTACCGGGGTAGGTTGATCCAGGAACGTAGTGATCCGCACCTTGCTTTCTCCGCTGGCTTTTTTTCCTTTCTTCTTCTTCTTCTTCGCGCACTTCTGCCACCCCTACGTGTGTGTGTGTGCCTCGGCTCTTCTCGCGTGCACCTTCCGCGGTGTCGGTCTGTCCGTCTGTCTGTCTGCCTGCCTGTCCGTCCGTCTGTCTCTCTGCGTGTCGACGAGGGGGTGTAAATGTGTATCTGTGCGTGTCACCGTGTGTAATTTTGTGTGTGTGTGTAAGTGTGCGTGTACGCGATGATGTGTACGATGATGCGTGCGATTTCGATGCGAACGCGAGCGTGAACGTGTTACGATGAATATGTACGTGTACGTGTGTGTTGTGTGGTGTCGTGTGGTGTTGTGTTCTGTTGTGTTGTGTTGTGTTGTGTGTGTGTGTGTGTGTGTGTGTGTGTGGTGAGAGGGAGAGAAAGAGAGCGCGTACTCGCGTAGACGGATTCCGAAACCCAGCCGTGCGGCAGGCTGACCGAGTGGCGACTGAGACTCACCCTCCGTGGCGGCGCTGACTACCCCCGAACAGCCAGTCCCCTAACGTTCTCTCCCCGTTCTCTCCCCACCAGCGCCGAGCGCACCCTCCTCTCTTCTAACCTCTACCCCCCTTTTGCGTGACTTCGTCGCTGAATTTCTTCGGATTTCTACACGCTTCCCTCTCGCCGCGGCGAGCGGGGGTGCTTCCAGCGAAACTTTTTCGCCTCCCCTGCTTCTCTCTCTCTCGCTTCGTTTCTCTTTTTCTTGCCTTCTCGCTCCCTCTGGCTGTGTCTCTTTCTCTCTTTTTCTATCTTACTCGTCTCTCTTTCTCCCTCTTATTCGTCCCTCTCTCTTCCTCTCTCTCTCTCTTACTAGTCTCTCTTTCACTCTCTTACTCGTCTCTTTTCTCTCTCTTATTCGTCCTTCTCTCTTTCTCTCTCTCTTACTTGTCTCTTTTCTCTCTCTTATTCGTCCTTCTCTCTTTCTCTCTCTTTTACTCGTCTCTCACTCTTTCTCCCTCTTACTCAACTCTCTTTCTCTCTCTTACTCGTCTCTCTCTCTCTCTCTCTCTCTCTCTCTCTCTCTTACTCATCTCTCTTTCTCTCTCTTACTCGTCCCTCTTTCTCTCTCTCGTTCTTCCTCTCTTTCTCCCTCTTACTCGTCTCTCTTCCTCCCTCGCTCTCTATCTCTCTCGCTCCCTGTCGTCTCTATTTCACCAACAGGGGGGTTTCCACGCCTGATTGATCCGAGATAGTTCGCGGAGCGTGAACGGGGCCGACCTTACCGCAGATGTTGCCCTGGTCATGGGCGCCATGGAGCGAAGATCCCCCGGCGGAAGACGGCTGAGGAACTCATTTTCAGCCAGACATTCGGCACGGACCCGCTCCGGCCGCGCCGCGCAATCTTTTACGACACCTGCAGAAACTTTCCGTGTCACGGGGTTGGGGGGTAGCAGGAGGAAGAGGAGGAGGACGATAAGGTGGGACCGTTTATGCGCTCGATTTGTTTCGCTGAAACGGCGACATCTCCGAGGTCGTTAAAACAAATTCCGTCGTCGCGGTTTTCTACGACGATAAAAACTCGTCTTCTCGTCGTCCAACGTCCGCGGAACGACCAGCCTTCGTTGATTAAAAATTAATTTCACCGGGGTCCGAAACGAAGACCCATCGATCTCCGGGAATCCCGAATCCGTCCTCGACGATCATGCGGACGCATCGTGTGCACGTCCTCGGTAACGTCGGCGTCGTTTCACGGAATCCCGCGACGGGACACGTAGAACGTTGTCTCCGTCGAAACTTGGCCCCCGGTTCGACGATTTTCGCCACCGGAAGTTGAGATATCGAGCTGCCGGACTGGCGACGGGGACGCGCGGGGTCCAAGAAACAACGATAACCCAGTTGCTCTTTGATTTCTCCGGTTGATCGGTCGCCGAGGGTGGAGGAGGGCGGGAGGGGACACGGTGGAAGATCGTTTCTCGGAGGGTGGTTCGCGCGGGTAGAATAAAGCGGCGGCTCTCGGGGACGGAGGGTGGTTCGACGTCTCCGGCGGTTTATTAGGTTAATGGAGACACAACGCGGCTACGTGAGTCGGCACGCGGCGTCTCGCCGCGGATTCTGCGGGGCCGCGGGGGGCGTGCTCGAGGGCGAGGAGAGGGCGCCGGCGGTGGCGCGAACCCCTCTCCGGTGGCGTCTCATTATCCGCGGAACGTGTTTACCGTTTTAACGAACGACGCTTTAATTACTCGGCTGAGTGCATAAAGACGCGGACCGCGCGCCATTGTGCGGCCTCCTCAAAGCCGTCCTCGAGCCGCGGACGGATCAAAAGCGGCGAGTTTCGGACCGTAATAGCCCGCGAGAACCACCGTGGATCTTATCGGCCCGGATGCGCGCCGAGATACGGTAATGTCTCTCTAATTGACGCTAAGATTGTCCACGGAAATGGACGATACGGGGAGAGGAGATACGATTGTTCGAGCTTTGCAGCTCGTTTCTAGTCGGTTCTTGACAATTCGTAACTGTAATCGTATCTCCTTTTCCCTAACTGTCCATTTTCGTGGAGCGTCAATTGTAGAGTCAATTGCAGCGTCAATCGAGGAATACAATCGACGCTCCTAAAATTTGGACAACTTCGGAAGAGGAGATACGATTATTCCAGCATTGCGGCTCGTTTTTTCTAATTACCGATTGTCAACAACTGTAAAAACGAGTCGCAAGGTTCAAATTGTCCATTTCTGTACACAAGCTGTACAGAAAATTCACAGTAAATTCTCCACCCTAATTGAGGCCCTAGTTGAGGCGCTTTGAGACTGTACGCAAAAATGAGCGATTTGGGAAGTTGAGATACGATCATTTAACAATAATTTAACAACAATTGGTAAACAGTTATAAAAACGAGCCAGAATGCTCGAATAATTGTATCTCCTCTTCTCAAATCGTCCATTCTTGTGGACAATCTGAACGTCAGTAAGGGAGACATTACTGTATTCGGTATACAGTAATGTCTCTCTAATTGACGCTAACATTGTCCACAGAAATGGACAATTCGAGGAGATGTAACGCGATCGTTCGAGCCTCGCGGCTCGTTTTCATAGTTGTCGGACCGCGAGGCTCGTAATAATCGCGTCTCCTCTTTCCAAACTGTTCATTTTCGTGGAGCGTCAATTGCAGAGTCAATTGGAGCGTCAACTAGAGAATCCAATTGTTATTACCGTATGGTCTCTCCGCGAACGGGCCGGTGAAACGCGGCCGACGAGCCGATAAGTTTCGAGCCGTCCCATTCGATCCACGCGAAACCGTGAAACTCGCCGAACAGCCCCGGCCGCTGCGCGCTCCGCTGTCCTGTCGGCTTTATTGCCGCGCTTGTGCTCGCGTCCGACGCATAATTGCGGTCCGCGCGCGTCCCTCCGATACGCGCGCGGCTGTAAATCGCCGCGTCTGTAAAGTTGCGATACGTTATTGAAAGAACGACGACAGGTCGCGAGGGGGGGAGGGGGTGGCGCGGCCTGGCCGAGGACTCGCGGGCGTACGCGTGACGTCGCGTCCCGAGGCCACGTGACGCCAGTGGCGTCGGTGGTATCGCGAGCCAAAGAAAATCGCGGAGGAAGAGACAACGTTTCCGTCCGGATGGCAACGATCGCGTTTCGATCGCGGCAAAGCGGACGGGAGGGAGGGGGTGGAATGCCGCGCGGGGGGCGTTTCGGTCGGTCGCCGAATAAAAAGGAGGGAAAACGCGCGGGAGAAGGAAGACGCGAGAAGAACGCCGGGAAGAGAGGGAGAAGAGAGAAGAAGCCGACGGGGGTTGGCTCGATCGAAGTTGTCGAAGGGAGGGCGCCACCTCGCCGGCCACCCCATTTCCATCGGGTCGTCTCGCGGACCAAGCACTTATCGCCCCTATCATTACCGTGGCTGGTTTGTCGTCGGGCTTAATCAGCCGCGTTGGACGTTCCGCGCTGGAAGTCGGACGGAATCCGGACCGCGCCGCCCGCAGAATTATTCCATTCCGAAAAATGGAACTCCCTCGGGATCTCGTTGTCCCGACTGCCGGGTCTCTCGGAGTTCTCGGTCTCGGAATTTGTCTCGGAGATCCGAGGGCATTCGCGGAAGTTCGCAAGGGGATTTCGCCGGGCTTTCGAAGCGGATCTCGGAACGGTTCTCTTTGCGTCCATTTGGCCGAGTCGCGCAGTTTCTCTCTCTCTCTCTCTCTCTCTCTCTCGCTCTCTCTCTGCCTAGAAATTATAATATTTAGAGTTCGAAGCGGATATCTGAACGCTTCTCTTTCCGTCGATTCGGCCGAATGGACGCGAAGTCGCGCAGTTTCTCTCTCTCTCTCTCTCTCTCTCTCTCTCTCTCTCTCTCTGTCGCTCTCTCTGCCTCGAAATTATAATATTTAGAGTTAGAAGCGAGAAACAGTTCCCCGACGCGAACGAATCATTTACTTTGCGATTAACGTGCAACGAAATCCGGCGAACCAATGAACTCGAAAACGCACCCCCGTGTACCCCCGGGTGCCCCGTGTACGTCGTGCCACGTGTGCCGCATTTATAATCGGAGCACGGCTAAGCATAAAAACACGTTTCCGCACGATTCGAGAAACGCACGCACGCCCGGGATGCTAATCGCGAGAATAATCGATCACCCTCCCCCTTCCCTAAGTTCGTAGTTCCAGGGCGAAACCGTGGCGGAGGGCGAGGGGAAATATCTAAATTGATTGCTAAACGAGAGGGTATCAGCCGCCGAGTGTTTTCGCCCGTTCTCGGTTTAGCGATCGCGTATTTAAAAATCCATTTGGCGGCGAGCCAGTCGATGCTCGGAAATCGCGCGTAATTAATCCCGCCCCCTTTCTCCCCGCTTCTCCGGGGAGAAGCTCTCCTCTCCGCCGCTGCGGTTCCGGATCGCCGCCGATGTTTCATAAAATCTTTACGACGTGGGGAGGGAGGGGGAGGAGAAGGAGAAGATCGGCGAGGACCGTTCCGACAAAGTAGACGAAACGCGTCTGTCCGATAATAAATTCCGGCTCGAATACATGTTTACGACGCCGCGGCGGTCCTGTCGGCAAACGGCCCGGACGGATGGCACAGCGCGGACGGCAAGCGTTCTGGAAGTAATTCGTGAAAATTCTTCGTCCGAATAGTCGTCTGCGAAATACGCCCCTTTGTCGCGAACACGCTGGTTCCGAGCGTGTTCCATCGCGTTTTGCATCGCGCGCATCGGCGCTGTGGTTTCTCGCTCGAAATGCATTTTAGCACCCCCGTCGCGCTTCCCGTCGCATCATTTCTACATCCCTGAAACGCTGTTCGCCCCGCGTCGTCTTTCGGGGAAAAGAAGTCGCTTTGTTCTCCAGAGGGGGTGAGATGGGAGGGGGCAAAAATATGGCGACCGTGGTTTTCGCGACGCGCTCGCGAAAGTCGAGCTAATCCGGCGCGGCGGTGGCCGAGGGGCTATCGGCCGCGTGTTTCAATCGAAGAAATAGCCGCAGCGTCGCTGTCGCAAGAGAAAAAGACCGCCGCGAACGCGTTTCGTCCAGCACGCGGCGCTCGTTGCATCGGCGGCCGCGCCATTGCGCAAAGTCCAAGGGGGTGGCGGCGGACACCGTTAACCCCTAGACTAGCTGCTATGGGCGCCCATAGGCGCTTAGGAATTTTTTGCGTTTGTGACACTCGGAGCGCCTATCGGGCGCTCGACGCGGTTTTGTTCTCTGACACGGAGGGCGCCCATGGGCGCCCAGAAAATGTTATCGATATTTATTCCGATTGATCTTATCTCGATTAGACGAGAAAAACAGTTTTACGTTAATATTAAACTTGTAACGTTTACAGTAATTCGGTACAGAGAAATAAAGAATATTGTTTTAACGTAGCGAAATTCGGTTTTTCGATCATTGAAATATGTTTTCACAAAAATGCATTCCTATACAAAAGCTCGCCGTTCTCGGCGTACAGTAATGTCTCTCTAACTGACGCTCAGATTGTTTACAAAAATGGACAATTTGGGAAAAGGAGATACGATTGAATAATTGTATCTTAATGAGACTTGTTATTACTTTTTATATATATTAAATTTTATATATAATATTACTTAATAAGATTATCTTAATAATAAAGCCTCGCGGGGGGTTCGTTTTTATAGTTACGAATTGTCAAGAACTACAGAAACGAGCTGCGAGGCTCGAATAATCGTATCTCCTTTTCCCAAACTGTCCATTTTCGTGGAGCGTCAATTGGAGAGTCAATTGCAGCGTCAATCAGGGAATACAATCGACGCTCCTGAAATTTGGACAATTTCGGAGGAAGAAATACGATTGTTCGAGGCTTGCAGCTCATTTTTATGGTTACGAATTGTGAACAATTATAAAAACGAGGCGCAAGGCTCGAATAATCGTATCTCCTGTTCCCCAAATTGTCCATTTTTCTGCACAATCTGAGCGTCAGTTAAGGAGACATTACCGTACATCGCAACTGAATTTCTGCCGTATGGTGCGACCGACGCGTTTCAAAGTCTGCCGTAAATCAAGGGGTTAACGTTGACGTCGCCGGTCGGCCGAAAGAACGCGATCGTCTCCGGGCCGCGGACACGCGGGGATAAAAGAGCATCGGGGGAAAGTGGTGGCGAAACGCGTAGAATCGAGCCGGGGGGGATGAGAAAAAAAAGAATGCGCGGCTCGCCTAACGAGGGACACGTCGACGACGACGACGACGATGCTACTTCTCGACGGCCCGGTTACCGTGCCGCGCGACGAACCATTGGTATTCGCGGCACGGCCCGACATCGTGTTAACCTCAGTTTTTCCGCGGAGATAGGTTGCACGCGCGCGCGCGCGCGCGACCAGACCGTAGGACTCGGTCTCGTCATTTGGTATGCCATTAATTAATTTGGTGCTCGAGAGCCAGCCAGACGCGGCTCGCAATTAGTGTCGGGGAATCAAAATGGCACGTGTGCGAGCCAGATGCTCCCGCAAATAGCGCCGCCGACCTGGAATTGCGGGGACTGCTCGCTCTCCACCGTAAGATCTCGCGCGTTTATCTCCCGCGATCGATCCTCCCGCGCCCTTTGTCTTCCTTTCGAAAACGAATCGCGGGTGGCTACTTCGCGGGAACTGAACAGAACGCGCGGGGGAGGGTGAATAGGGAACGGGTTGCAAGTCGGCGGGCACGCACGCGATCTAGCGATTTGCAGGTTCGCGTTCAAGGACGCGCGGCGACGCGCAACGCGACGGTAAAAATGGAATTGTAAAATGCGCGATCGCGAAGGAAGGGTCGCGGGCACGTCGAAGGGTTGTTCGAGCGGCAGAAGATTCCTTCGAAATCGGAGATCGCTTTTATCTGCTTCGACTCTGTCTTAACCCGTTGCCATACTTCGACGTGTCTGACACGTGATCGTGATTTCTCGGTAGAACCTGTTCAATGTGAATATTATTCCGTTCTCTTTTAAGTCGAAATCAAATTCTGTTCTCTTGTCGTCGATATTTCAAGCGTTCAACTGATCGCAGGTATATGATACAGTAATGTCTTCCTAACTGACGCTTAGATTGTCCACAAAAATGTACAATTTGGAAGGAGGAGACACAATTATCGGAGCCTTGCGCCTCGTTTTTATAGTTGTTGAGAATCGGTAATTATAAAAACGAGGCGCAACACTCGAATTAATCGTATCTCCTCCTTCCAATTCGTCCAATTCTGTGGACAATCTGTGCGTCAATTAGAGAGACATTACTGTAGATATGAATTGGCTTCTTCCTTTTTAAGGATTATTACAATCGGAAAGCTTCTAATCGTTGCGACTACGAAGAAAATGGTACGGCAAGGGGTTAACGTCGTTTCAGCTTCGTTTTGTCGGTGAATCGAGGAATTAACAGGCGTCGAGAAGGTAAGATACAATGTCTCTCTAATTGACGCTCAGATTGTCCAAAAAGATGGACAATTTGGGAAGAATAGATACGATTATTCGATTCGTTTTTATAGTTACGAATTGTCAAGGGTCGAATAATCGTGTCTCCTCTTCCTAAATCGTCCATTTTTCTGCAGAATCTGAGCGTCAGTAAGAGAGACAATACTATAATTCTCGTTTCTACTAAATGAGCGTGAACTCGATTCCAATAAAATCGCTATGTATTTCAATGTTCAGATAATCTGCTTATTCGATTGCGACTGAACGACTTCGATCGCCCTGCAAAAAGACTATGAATACTTTCACCGCCGCACCCCGAACACACCGTGAACCGCGTTATCCGGCACGTTCGTCCCCTATCGCCGCTGCGCCGCTTGTTCACCCCCTGCCGGCAGTAAACGCTCGTTCTCGCGGCCATAAATTGAAAGTCGGCCGGTTGTAACCGGAGGGGCCAAGAACTCCGTGAACGCAATGCGGAAGAACACGATGCACGTTATATTACTCACGCATGCACATGCAACGCAGACCTCCGTGACGTGACGTGACCCGCACGGCCTTGAACCAATTTTTCCACCCTCCGGCCTCCGCATTTTCCCTCCGCGATTCGCGGCTCGCGACAAACCGGAAACCGGTAGTAAATCCTCCGCGTAGCGCCGCCGGATAATGTTATAGCTCGCCGACACCCTCTGTGTCCAGTCGCCGAGGTGCGCCGGCAACTCGGTCGATTTTTCATCCGGCCGTGAAATCTAACCACCCCTGCTGCTCCGGCCCGACAGGGGAAAAGGCGATATTAAACAGGTTGATGTTAACTCCGCGACGACCTACGCACGGTTTAATGTCCTGCCGAGACATTGTAACGCGGCCCAGGTGCGTTAATCGCGTTCGTTTAACCCTTTGCACTCGAGCGGTGACGCTGAAGCACCGGAAAAATTGTTGCGTCGCGTTCTAAGATCATTTTTATACCGTCGAAGTATAGATTTAAAAAATTGTTAAAAGTGTAACCGCTGTTCGAGTCACGAGACTCGATTCCGTACGCATAACACGCTCTTTGTCGTGTAAAATGGAAATACTATAAGTCAGAAAAGTTATTTTAGATTTACAGCTCGAATGACTTCGAGTGCGAAGGGTTAATTAACGCCTGAGTTAGGTCTGTTAAAATCACCTAGGACCACTTAGGTAATTAAGGGTTGATGAACGAGCCTCCCTGGGCCGGGTTTGTTAGATGTTCCTACGTTCTATGGGATTTTCGACGGTGCAAGAGCACGCGGTACGGTTTCCTCGAATAAAGTTGGCCAAATTGACGGTCGCTGGTAGCAGAAAAGTATTACAAATTGTATTTTCATAGATAGCTGTTCGTGGTGTCGAGATCGTAGCGCAATCGATCTACGGTCATGCGCACTACCAAAGCAGTTGCATTGCCAAAAGTTGTCAGTCCTTTCCGAGCCGTTGCACACGACGAGTTCCCGACGCGCTGTGGCTCTATATTGTACACTTGAAACAGAAAAGCAAAAAGATGCGAGGAGCTTCCAACGAATCGTCCGAAGAATTTCAAGTACGATTTATTGTAACAAAACCATAGAAGCAACCATAAATAGACGATTTATTTACAGGAATTATAAACATACTAGTTTCTCAAAGGAACGTGTTTAGATTTTAAGGAGGGCGCTCGTGATGCCGGCCTTTTTCAGCACCACCAGCAAACTGCCGTTGTTATGCATTTCCATTAGTATATCGCAACCTCCGACGAACTCGCCGTTTATGAACACTTGTGGTATCGTGGGCCAGTTCGAAAATTCCTTGACGCCTGTGCACAGATGAAAGTCTCGATAGAATGAAAAAGTTTTATTTTTTTATTTATATTATATTTTTCATTATTATATTATTATATTATTATTATATTATATAATATATATATATATTATATATTATATAATAATATTATATTATTATATTATTATGTTATTATATATTTTTTATTATATTTTTTTTATTTAAAATACGGGATCACCGTATTTTTTTACCTTGCCGAAGTTCATCGTCCTTGAGCACATCGTGCGCATCGTATTTGACGTCGTGCATCCTCAATATCTGAACAACCGCGTTGCTGAAGCCACATCTGGGCTCCTCCGGAACCCCTTTCATGAATACGACCACTTTGTTTTGCTGCGAACAGAGAAAACGTTGATGAAGAATTCTCGAGAAAATATTCCGAGGCTACAGAAATATTCGGGAGATTTTTCCGCATCCGTGTCGTACACGAAAACGTTTATTTATTATCGAACAAACGACGCGTTGCAGTTGCCATACGGCACAACGAGAATCAAGGGTAGCGCCATTTGTGTCAAGTGGCGCCTCTCGCGGCGACTTCGAGAAGCTCCGTTCAGGGTCCGTACAGCGACAATTAGTAAAACGGCAAAACGCTGAAACTGCTGGCCAAATATTACAGTCGAAACTGACGATATAAATTACACCCGCGACACCAGCGCCTCTTACGGCGAAATCTCGAAGCTTGGAGATTCGTACGCTGATTAGGCTAGTAGCAAAACTCTGTAAGTGGTTATTATTTTTAATTATCGATACGCACTCGATTGTGGCTGGCATTTTGCGCGTTTTGCCATTGGACTTAATTTCGCAGCCGTTGATCGGCGAGTTATTTAGGTTTCCGTATCCTCTCGGAATATCATCAGTTCCCTGATAAAAAGGATTCAAATACGGTAGAATAATCGCGCTACAGATCTATCGTGTTCTCTATTATTACTTCGATGAAAGTACAACGAATTTGTTCTAAAAAACAATCGTTAATTCTACGATTTAATTTCAAATCCTTCCGCAATGAACCATGTAAACACCGCACTATCTAAATGGCTCCGCTTAGAATTTCAACAGAGACATTAACGTACCAAGATCGATCAAAACCGTACAGAGCATGCCGAAAGCCGACTACGCCAAAGAATTCGATACAAACAGCATCGCGAAACTTAAAATAGACGATGTCTAACGATATTACGCTAAATTTAATTCATATTATTCGTAGAACGATAAACCGACGTACCTTAACGAGGTTACCAATCTGATCCAGTTTCGTGGCGAAATTCCTGATTCCATTGTAAAATCTGAATGGAATCATCTCTCTGGAAGCGTTGTATCCGCAATTAACGAACGAAACTTCGATTCTTCGACGAGAAAATACACTGCGTGCGGGAGAGGTTATCCGATCAACGCGCTGATCGTGGCAGACTGTGCGAATGCTTTAGCCATCTAACAGTCGCGTGATCATTGAACATTTTTTCTCTCGTAGCGTCCACAACCTACCGTCGTTAAGCACGAATTTCGCGTTATCGGCGGCGCACCGGCCCGCGGAAAGGAAGGGACCGATCAATTTCTCGTTCACGCGAGTCGCCGCCAGGTGGCCATAGTGGTTCCGTCTGCGCAGCAAGCGTAGTGATTAACCGCAGATACGCCACCTGGAGTTCGATGGCTAAACGTAAGTGCTTCCTAGGGACGAGCAGTTCTCCACGAGATTGATACATCGCAATTTAAGAGAGAGAGACGCCTTTTAGAGATTTACCCCGAATTTGGTCGCGTAGAACAACGCGGCGATTACGTACAGTCGAATAAAGTTCGTTATCGTTGCAAGAGAAAATCTCCGTCGCCACTCATCGATCCTCACGAGTTACGAAAATATAATTCCCCGGAAAATTTTAATTTGCCCACGTACATATCCGAACGACGATGCCGAAAATAACCGAGTGCCTCGACAGAGGGGAACGAATGGTATATCAAACTACGTCTGCTAATGATCTCGTAATTCGTGTCACACATTATCCTAATCGTTTTCATTCCGTTTACGCCCCCGAGCATTTCCAGGAATAATTTCCACGAAAAGTCTATCGATCTGAATTCGACGCTTCCATGCTCGACGAGAGCTGCTCGAAGAAGCATCGCTCTAAAATATTCCTTGCCCCCATCGGGGCAAGTTGCACCGTTTAATTTCAATTCTGTATCGAAACGTTAAACACACGCGTCTTACGTAAGTGTTACACATCGCGGTTACGTAATATGTTATTATTTTGACTTTTATCAAATCATCCTTGCGCAAGCCGCTTCAAGTACGTTATATATATATAATAATAGCTATATATATATATGAAATGCTTAAGATCGGGTTCCGAATTCTTTTGTGAATGAGAATGAAACGTACATATATATATATATAAAAGAATTCGGAACCCGCGTCGCGATCTTAAGGCGAATCCGTATTATGGTAAAATAATGTTTAACGCAGGCGACGGCTATGAAATAATTTAGCGAAACAATATTTCTTCAGACTTGCATACTTCAAATTCGATCTACCCGTATTAACGTTCGTGGCCTACTTACCACGGGTAGGCTACCGTGTAACATAAGTCTCGAGTATGATACTTTTCAGATAAACTACGAATGTGTTCGCTTAAACGCTTCGTCGGTGAAACAGGATAATAACTGTGGCTGTTCGTTGCTTCGTTTTGGCTCGCAAATTCGCGTGCACATTAAAAGGTGGTTTCTTCTCGAATCGATGAATTCTCGGAAGACACAAAACGCGCGTCTTTCCAAAAAAACTTCTCCGCGTCGATTTATCTTATTACGCAGCACGATTACGCGAATATCCAGAAATACTATGAATTTATCTTATCGGCCTCGATACCGATATCGGTCCGACAGAAATCACGCCGAAAAATATGTTACAGGGACCGACCGACGTTCAACTATTTCGCGACTAGCTCTCCGAAATAACGTTCCTCGAGATATATTCATTTTGCGAAACTTGTTCGTAAAACATTTCGTAAACGTTACGTTCCAACCGAGTCGAATTTACTATTCAATTCTCTGATATTTTACATTAGGATCTTCGATCGCGTTCTAGAGACCCTAACAAATAGGTTAGCTCTAGGTCCGAGTTAATTGTTGTTTGCGCCGTGCAGCGTTAGCGTCGTGTCCCGGTCTCTCGCATCCAATTCGCTCGGGGTTCATAACCGTGCCGAGACGCTTCTTCTCCGGTTCTTAAATACTGAATGACGCATGCACGAAGGTTTTTCCGGCCGGAATATACACCCGGCTGTTTAGTCTGGCCGCGAGCGCATTTTTCCCCATGACGTAACGGTGAAAAATTGTTACGGGGAAACCTCGTTAACCGATGCCGCACGTCCGCAGCACGTGGATGTCCTTTCCGAAGCCGTGACGTCACGGCGAAATCATGGTCACAGGCGGCGATCACCATGGAAACTCGCTCCTACTCGCGAACCTACGCGAGAACGCCCACGAGATTTTAAAGTTCGTCCGGTGTACGCGTCGCGGCGCACAGCTTCACGGACCAAGTCCTTGCGATAGGTCACGGATGAATGCCACGAAAATAGCAACAGGTTAAATGTTGAGAAAAAAATTGCGCATTTCGACCGATCCGCTTTCGCCTGAAATTCACGTCCGAGCGTCACACGCTTCGCGTTCCATCGTTCCGCGATGTCTTTTCTCAACACGGTAAATGTAAACGTATTGGGTTGGCAATATAGTATAGTAATATAGTATAGTAATATAGTATAGTAATATATAGTATAGTAATATAGTATAGTAATATAGTATAGTAGTATAGTATAGTAATATAGTATATTAGTAATATAGTATAGTAATATAGTATAGTAACATAGTATAGTAATATAGTATAGTAATATAGTATAGTAATATAGTACAGTAATATAGTATAGTAATATATATATATATATATATATATATATATATATATATATATATATATATAGTATATTAGTAATATAGTATAGTAATATAGTATAGTAACATAGTATAGTAACATAGTATAGTAATATACTATAGTAATATATATATAGTATATATAATATAGTATAGTATAGTATAGTAATTGCCGATTTGTTCAATGAAATAAAAAATTTATTTTTACTTGGAACGAAATTTAATCTGTAATGTATTTTCCATTTTGTTCGATGACCTTTTGCCATCTCTCCGACAACTTGAAAATTCCATGCTCGTAAAAAGTCTGATCCTTTTCGGCCAAAAACTGAGTTAAGTGAGATTTTACAGCGTCGTCGTCATTAAAAGTTTTACCACGAAGGGAGTCGTCCAGGGGTCGAAATAAGTGGTAATCCGATGGCGCGAGATCAGGGCTATACGGTGGGTGTAACATCAATTCCCAACCTATATCTATCAATTTTTGCCGGGTGGACAAAGACGCGTGCGGCCTAGCATTGTCCTGCTGGAAAATGACACCTTTACGATCGACCAATTCTGGTCGCTTTTCCTTGACCGCTGCATTCAATTTGTCCAGTTGCTAACATTCACGGATAATAAAAAATAACATAATAATAATAATAATAATTTTATAATATAACATTTACGGATATCATAAAAATGGGAGTGAGAGACATCTATAACTGAAATCGGCAATTACTTAGTCGCCAACTCAATAGAATCTCTGGATTTAGATCAAAAAAATTCTGGACAAATTTTTGTCGCGACCAATGAACGGCGAAAGACGGCCTCCCGACGGGCCGTGTAAATCTTTCGCCGTTGCGTAAGGCTCGCCAAGGCTCGCTTCTTTATTGTCCACGAGTTACACGGTTGCGTTATAAGATTACATGATGCAATCAAGTTCAAAGAAATAATGTTTCTCGCACATTTCCCCCACCACCGCGTCGGTATCGCGTGTGACGTCTCTACAATGTAGAATAAACAACTCAGCTAAAAATGACATAGCACTGGAACTCCAACGAATATACAGATTCGCGGCGAGCAAATCGCCGCGGCGTCGTATATGCGCCGAAACAACTGGAACGCCGCCTTTTTTCAAGGACAACCACGAAACATTTTTAGGACACCCTATATATACAAACATACATTACGCGGATCCCAGAATCGGACTAAAAATGATATTTTCGAGTAACGATAATGGACCGTTTGTGGTACGCGTGCTGGAATGACTGCACGGTCGGCGAGATAATGCAACGAAGTTACAACGAAGCGATACGATACGGTGCAACGATTGCGCGTAATCTTGTAAGACGACCTTGAGTTTCTGTTCTTTCTTCGCCGGGAACTATGTACATATATAGTACGTCTGTGGAAGAACGGCGCGAGGCAAGAAGTGGCTGCTCGTGCGAGCCTCGAGTTTAATAAACAGGAAGGCTGACGGGGACCGTTAAGGCGGTGAGAATCAGGCCGTAACAGATCGTGGCGCTGCAGTTGTGCGAACGGACATTNGGTCGGTCGCAGAGGGAATAAGGGACAAGCCGGAATGGGACGTTAGTGGGATATCTCGATGTTCGGCGCCGCGATTGTTGCACTATTTTACGTGGGCTCTCGCTTTAACCTGACCATACCGTGACGACGGGTTTCACTTTGCCGTAATGTTGCCCGCCACTGCCAGTTAATGCATTTTCACTCGTGGGATGGTGACGCTAAATGATACGGTTTCCTGTTCGCAGGAAACTCGAAACTCCCGCAGCTCGACCAGGTAGCCGAAACTCCGCCGCCGCGACTTTATCGGATACCTGAAAATATTAGCCGGCGCAAATATTTAATCGACGTTAAATTCGACCGGATTACAGGGTGTCCCAAAAACGTCTCGCGATCCGGAAATGGCGGGTTCCTCGGATCATTCGAAGCAACTTCTTCCTTTACGAAAATGTTCTCCGAGGCACCGTTAACGAGTTATCAACGAAAAACAGTGACCAATAAGAATCGAGCGCGGCTGACGCGAGGCGGCCCAGCCAACCGGCGCGCGAAGCCCGGTCCCGCTCATTGACTCGGTCGCCTCGCGCCAGCCGAGCTCGCCTCTCATTGGTCACTGTTTTTCGTTGATAACTCGTTAAAGGTGCCTCGGAGAACATTTTTGTAAAGGAAAAAGTTGCTTCAAATGACTCGAGGAACCCACCACTTTCGGATTGCGAGACATTTTTGGGACGCCCTGTATTT